AAGTTGCAGGGAGCTCTCACCACAGCAGCAGTCCTCTGGGAATGGAGACTGCCCTCCAGGCTCATTCGTTTGGCCTTGGCAGAACTTAGTTCCTCTTGGCTTTTGTCTGGACACTTCAGTTTCTCACCATTTGGGCCTTTCCATATTCTGACGTCGTACCCTCATGATAGGACAGTTGGCTCCTTCAAAAGTGAGTGATTCAAGAAAGGGAGCAAGCACAGCCAAAACCACAGTCCGGTTATAGCCCGGTCTCAGAAGTGCCTTGTATCACCCCTCCTACAGCACTCCATTTGTTAGAAGGGGACTCAAAACACAGCCCACAGTAAGGGAGTTGGAAGTTAATCTCTACCCCTTGAAAGGAAGAGATTAACATAGAATTAGTGGATGTAATTTTAAAACCACCACAGGGACCCTATTTAAACTCCAAGAGCCATTTTGATACAGTGGTTAAGAGTATAAATTTGAGATGAATAAAAGACCTAAGTTTAATTTGGTCCCCACATTTGCTACACTGCCAAATTTTAGGCAAGTCACCTAATGTTTGTGGATCTCAATTTCCTACTCTAAATGAGGGATAAGAATTATACAGTAATGGTAAGATGTTTCATTGAGTTACAGTAAAAATGAAATAATAATTATGCCCTGTAAAGTACCTGGTAGAGAATAACTACTTCATAAATATTATTTCATTACTAAAGTAATGGAATAATGTTATTGTTTTCCTTTACAATAGATAGTGTAGTATGGAAATTAAAACCACAGTTTGCCTGGGTTAGAATTCTGGCTCTGTCATTCATTAGCTGTGCGAATAGGAAGAAGTCATTGACTCTCTTGGTCTTGGTTTACTGCAAAATCAAGATAATAATAGTACCTGGGCACCTAATAGGTGTTCAATAAATACATTATGAATATGGATATAGTGGAATATGATGACAACAGGATGATTATGTGTGAGTGTGAGTGTGTGCGTATGCACACAGGTAAGTTAGGGCTGCTACGTAAAGCACATTTGATCTTAAACACCTTATGTTTAACTGGACAGCTTTGTATGCCTGCCCCAGTTCTATTTGAGTGTGTCCTTGTACCCTTAAATGTGGCCACCTCCATGAGCTCTCTGGTTTTATTGTCCCTTGTGGGGCAGTCTTGTTCCCACTGTTTGCATTCTCTCTCCCTGTAGCTTTGTCCGAGCACGCTTCCTTCTTCATCCCGGCTTCCTCCTCCAAGGATGTGTGTAACTGGCTCTGCACAGAGTCTGGGGATTTGGTGACAGGAGGGTGTGTGGGTGGTCCCACGTCACACCACCTCAGACTGCTACATTACCTTAAATTATTTTGCAAATGAAAGCTAAAAGCTAAGCAAAGGCAACCCATCCATTTTGCCTAAAGATGATTATAATGCTCTTTTATGGCCTCCTAAATGACAATGCAATTTGTTACCTGCCTGCATCAACATTTGCTTATATTAGCACCCGAGATGCTTGATTTTTATTAGCCCCATGTTATCATTTTATGAAGACACAGGGGCTCAGTAAAATTAGTGTGCAAATAGAGTGCCCATTTTGCATTTTCCTGTGGTCAGCAGAAATGCTGAATGCAATTGAGTTGGTACTGGGTCAGGGGAGACATCCATAAAGAAAGCCTTCACCGAGGGCCTCGGTGATGCCATTCATCATCTCTGGACTGCTGGGATAGATGGGGTCAGTGTTAGGTACTATATCTTTAAAGGACTTGATATGTATTTTTAGATGAAAAAGTAATCCAAATACTGAGACACTAGCTCAGTTTCTATCTCAAAAAAGCCAGACGAAAGTTAATTGAAGTAATAGCTATCTAAACTCCTTTATAAACCATGATCTTTACAAGCATTTTTGTTTGTCCATTTAGCAGCCAGGTTGTGGGTATCTACTTCATATAGTGTCCTGGGAAAGATATTAGAGACACACCCATGGAAGTCACAGTTTCTCCTTTCCATGTGGGAAAAGTTCAGGTGTTTAACTTCTTTCTTAAACCATAAAATTCTTCAGAGTGGGCAAGTCCTCTCTCTCTTCCTTTGTTCCTGAAGGTATCTAGCACAGCACTGAGCATAGGATGTGTTTGCACATATTTCAATTCTATTATATTTTTTGCTTTTAGCGGAAGCAGTGACCCCCTCCCAGCCTTTATTGGTGGCTTCAATAGACCAAATAAGTTACAAACCTTTAAACAATATACAATAGAGTTAATTTTTGGTTTAATCTCTGCTATGGGTGCTCTTTTGAGGTGATGAGCCAGATCCAAAATACCTATTACCAGCATTTTAGAAAGAGAAAATCTGTTATTTCTGTACCCTCGCTCTTCAAATCATCCTCTAACATAGACAGTCTCCTTTAGTCTAACTTTTTTCACTATTTCTTCCTAACTTCCCTTCAGATCATTTTTCTGCCCCATGCCAATCAGTGTCCCTAGACCTGTGACAGAGTTCCTACCCCTGCTTCCTTGAAATGCCACCCTCGACTGTTGCTTTTATCCTATAACATCTCTTCTAAACTTTATTACACAGATTACACTTCTTTAATCAAAGAAAGAACATGGTTTCTGAGTTGTGGTCACAGTCTCCTACTTTCCTACATGCCTAATAATTTTTTATTAAATGTTGGGTATTGCAAGTTGTACATTATTAAGTGTCTAGAGTTTGTTGTTTTCCTTTAAAGATAGTTGGGCTTCCTTTTAAAAAAAAGAGTATAAGACTAGGTAAAACTCAAAATGGACAATAGATGGTAGGAAAGGGAAAGAAATTGCTCAAAGGAAGGAACGACTGGGATGAGGGAAAGAAGAAAAAAGAAACAAGGAAGGCAAAATATAAATATATATGTATGAATAACTGCCATGACTGTATTGCTGTTGTCTGATGGTGTATTGAAATGAACAGTTAATGCTCACAATTTTTTATGTTCTGATTGACTTTGCATGCTTGTGTCTGGTGATATGAGCAACTGATTTGAAGGTAACAATATGCAGTGGAATTACAATGGTGAACTACTACCATCTTGCCTAGTGAAACTCTGTATTATCAGTAATGTTTTATAAAATATTTTCTTATTCTCTTTAGTGGTTTGAGCAATCTTTCATTCTTACATCTGGTAATCTGAGCAATGTAGTTGAGGATAGTGATATGCAATGTAACAACCACTGTTGATTCATATTAATTTGTCTTGAGACCCTGTATCACTTTGAATGTTCTTGCTTTGATTTATGTTCAGGATACTGGTATGCTGCTACTGTTCTACTTTTTTATTTGTTTCTCATTTATTACTCTCTTTAAAATAAAAAAAATTAAAAAGAGAGTATAACAAGCAGTACTGTTTTGTTCAGTTTGATTCTTTGACACTTATTTTAAAACTTTATTAGAATGTATTTAGAGTCTACCTCTAAGAAATGACCCTTCAGAGTTCACATTCTCCCTGAATGATCCACAAGGACTTCTACTCTTTGTGCAGAGTGATACTTGTATATTTCTGTTATCCAAGATCTGAATCCCAATGATTTCCAGACCTGTGTGACCTCTGAGACCTGTGCACTGTACAACCCACTGGTCATTTTGCTCTGAAAGCATGGAGTATGTTACTGAGTTTTCCATCACTGTGACAAAATCCCTGAGATAAACTATTTATAAGGAGAGAAGATTTTTTTTTTGGCACACGATATCAAAAGTTTCAGCTCATGGTTACTTGAAAATGTGGCTTCTGGGCCTGTGGCAGCACAGTACATCATGGTGGGAGTATATGGCAGATGAAACTGCTCACCTCATTGCAGCTGGGGGACAAAGACAGAGAGAAAGGTAAAGGCTGGAGTCCCAGGGTCTCCATCAAGGGCATGCCTCCAGTGACCTAACTTTCTTTAACTAGGTGCTGCCCCTTAGAAGATTCCACCAACTCTTAATAATGCCATGGGCTGGGGACCAAGTTTCCAATATATGGGCCTCTGGGGGAAATTCCAGGTCCAAACTATAGCATGAAGATTCACTTTATGCATGTGCATTTTAGGATTTAACAAAGATGCAAGAAAACTTCTTCACAAACTTCCAGAATTCTTTTCCTGCAAAGCTCTCTCCTCTCTGCAGGCCACAGCACTTCCCCACAATTGGCACCCACTGTACTTGGATCTCAGTGAGACTTCCAGGCTCTGCCCAGCATACCATTCCCTGCTGATCAGTCTGCAGTGGAACATCAGGCAAAGTGCCAGTGCAGTCACAGCGTATGCGTCCATTGTTTCCCTTCTCTCATCCAAGATCTGAAAATGGTTGTTTTGTGTATTTGTTTAATTTTTTAGTTGCTTAAGGTGAAAGGGAAATTTGGTCCCTGGAACTTCATCATCACCAGACAAACATTTGAATCCAAATCTCAGTCCTCACCCCCACTTATGAGCTCTGTGACATTGAACAAATTATGTAACCTCTTTGCGCCTCAGTAAAAGGAGTATCAACTGCAGATTTCTATAGGGAATGAGCATGTGTGCATGTGTGTGTGTGTGCGCATGCCCAGACAAAGGGGCTAATTAAATGGCAGCTGCTACTATTACTATAAATAGCTCCTTTTTTATTCCATCATTTCCTAGGTGTTTGCTGAGCCCTATGTAATATGTCAGTTTGTTTAATCATCATAGCAACTAACAAAGTAAATATTATTGTCCTAATTTGTAGATTAGAACACTGAAACCCTGTACAAAGCCAGTGGCTCTAATATTCAATTTCACTCATACAGCTTCTTTATATTACTGCAAATATTCTATATTACATATTATACAACATTTCACCAAGTAAAGAGAATATGGCCATTTAACACTGAAGTAGCCAGAGACATAGTTGAATTAGTCAGCAGTATCTGGGCTTTAATGATTCTAACCAAAAACTTTAAGAGATAATTGTATGCGGCCCATTCTTTGTTTATCTCATGCCCACACGCCAGTCTCTAATCTTAGCTTTTCTTACCCTCTTTACTGACCATCTTTCATTTTATCTTACAGAAAATCTCCGGGAAGGGGCAGAACAGAAGGTGATATTCATCACAGGCCGAGTGCACCCGGGGGAAACACCCTCTTCATTTGTGTGCCAAGGTGAGTTCAGGATCTCAAGGATGTCCTGCCCTTGCTTCCCACATCCAGATGGGGTGCTGTTGTTGTTTTCTTTTTTTTTTTTCTGGACTGGGGATTGAACCCAGGGCTTCTCACATGCTAAGCAAGCAACCTACCACTGAGCTGTACCCCCAGCCCCTGGGATAATCTCTGAGATGGTATAGTCACATGCAGTCATCACGTTGGATGGGAGCTTGCTTCTTTAAAGAAGTTGCACCTGATGTCTGCTAGGTTTTGTTGCAATAAATGCTTATTGACTAGGTGTATCTGTGGATAAATAGATGGCTAGATAAAATAATAGGAGGAGGTGTAGAAAAGAAATCTATGTTGGGGATGAGCCAGATAGTGTCATCTATACTCCCTAGATTTACTTTTTTCTAGTGACTCACAACAGCAAGCATCCAGCCCCAGCTCATTGTAGATCAGTGGAGGGCTGTGAAATGGGAAGGTAAAAACTAAGAATTATGTATTAATTTACTCATTTACTAATTCATTCATGCACTTAACAAATAACCTAGGCATATTTCTCTGCAATTACATTTTAAATCATTACTAAATATTTAACCCATATAAATATATATTCAATTAGGGAGCTATAGTTAGCAATCTAAACATTGTTAATAAGTAAGACATAAATAATAAAATAGTGAATGCCCAGGAACTCATCTGTTTAAGTACCAGAATATTATCTGTTCTTTTTAGGTTCTTTGCCCTTTATTTCCTCTTCCCACAGATATCCATCACCTTGAACTTTGTTTTGTCATCCTTGATCTTCCTCAATAGTTTTCCTATGCGTGTGAACATTCTTAAACAACGTATTCTTTAGTTTTGCATGTTTTTTGAACTTTATAGAAATAAAGTCCAGTGTGCACTCAGATGTGCTTCCCACTCAGTATCCAGTTTGATGAGTATAGTTGAGGTTCACTTATTGCTCACCGCTGTATCATAGTCCATGTCTGCCAGTCGATAGCCAGTTTACTTCTTATAAACATTTATTTCAAATTGCCCACAGGTGAAGTTTACTTTTTTATGAGTGTACATTACTTATACATGGGTTTCTGGTGGGACTTTTCACACTTGCTGATACCATACTTTGAGAGCTCCACCTGCAGTAACTCTCCCTTACCTGTGCTTCTGCCTCCTGCGAGTCCTTTCCCTCTTCAATTCGCCTGGACATGTAATTGCTGAATCTTGAGATACACGCATCTTCAACTTTACCAGGTATTTCCAAGTTTCTCTCAAAGGCATACACTCTTTGCCCTGCTATCAGTAACATCTGAAAGTCCTGCCTTCTTGCCAAAACATTTTCATTTGTACCTGTGTGGTGTATACATTTCATATAAAAATGTAAGATATGAGTACTTGCACCAAGTACTATTCTAAGCATTTTACATATTTTAATTGACTTTCAGTTAACTCATTTCACTTGTATTAGTTTGCTATGTCACAGGAACTAATAGTAAGTATATTTTTACTTATGAGGAAATCAAAGTTTAGAGAAGTTAATTTATATCATTTCAACCTAAAGAAGATCCGTGAGGTCAAAGGAACATGGAAAAGCCTTTGAAGGTTCTGTAACTTCATGGCAGCAGCACACTGCAGAGGAGTATCTGGAGACAGGGAATCAGGCAACCCCAAGGTCAGGTGTCGGCTGTGCCACTTCCTAGCAGTGTGACTTCAGTTTCCCTAAGTGTAGAATGAGGATGTGACCTAGGGAGGCTGCTTTGAAGCTGGCACGAGATGAATGTAAACACAACACCCAGTCCTGTGCCTGGCACACAGCAGGCGCTTGACAGATGCCACCTCCTTCCCTATGGGAACCTGAAATGAAGCAGGTAATCTGCTTTGATAATTATCAAGCACTATGCAAATAATGTGAGCATTATTTTTCCCGTTCACATTCTTACGATGACTGCCTCCCTCTCTTTATCAGCTGAAGACACTGAGTTTCAGGAGAGGAAGTGACAGCCCAATGCCCAGCAGCTGACGAGAGGCATGGCTGGGCTCCCGTCACTACAGCCGACTCCTCTGCATTCTCACTTCTGCCCTTTTCCCCCCCAGCAATGTCCTTGCAGTCACCTTTCCCAAGTCCCTCCTTTCCTTGCAGCCATCTGTCAGTAACTAAACTTGGCAGCGGGTCTGGTCCTCCAGCTGCTTGGATATAACTGCTTTGTCTTGTTTATGAAAATACAGCAGCCTTGCCATCCACACCGTCATCTGCGGGAGCCCACATCCCTGTGCTCACCTCTTCTGCGGGCAGCAGACGGAGGACAGGGTCTCCACCCCATTTTACAGATGCAGACTGGGGCATAGAGAAATTGGGTGGATTTCTGGTGTTTTCTCTGATAACACTCTTTCCTGGAAGGGAATATTCGGATGGTGCCCAGTTAACAGTCAGTGCTAGCCTTTAGATTTCCAAATAAATGTTTGTTCCTTGGCATAACCTTTCAGTGCCTACTGACTGCCTTTTCATGATAAACTCTCGATTCCTTAGTGTGGCATCCATTGCCCACCACGATTTGGCTCTTGCCAGGCCCTCTGGCCTCAGCCTCATTGCATTTCAGCCCCACACAGCCAGTCTCATACGGCTTAACCCCTGGATGCAGAGTCCTCCTGGTCACCATGGAGCCTTGCACGTGCTCCTCCCTCTCTCTGGAAGAACCTATGCCCACTCCTCGTCATTTGTCTAGCACCTCCCATCTCCCAAATGTCCCCCTGTGGGTCTCCCTGACTCACTTCCGCTGGTACCTGGTTTCCGCCTGTCTTGTGGGTCAAAGGCTGACTTTCTTCCAGGAAAAAACAAAACAAAACAAAACCTGATTTGTTATTTAATTGATTTATATTTGTTTCTCATTCATTAAACCATGTGCTACTTAAGCTCTAGAGACTGGCTTTCTGCCACTTTCCACATCTGGAGAATGGGGTTATTTTATTCATTTTATGGGGCTTTTGTGAAGAAAAAAAGCTTTGTTGATTCTGGTTTGCTAAAACTAAATTCAGCAAAAAGAGCCTCAAAGTCACATAGCCAGTAAATACCAGAGGAGGGCTTTGATCCTGGATCTGGCCAGCTCCTCTGCCTGTATATGCTCCTTTGTTCCACTCAGAGAGAGGAAGTGCTGGAAGGTTTTGATCTTACTGAATTTTTTCTTTGTACCTGGAATCGAATTCACAACCTCGCACTTGCCAGGCAGGCGCCGTGCCACTGAGCAAATCCCTGGCCCAACTAGAAGGTTTTGTACGTGGAAAAGCACAGGAGTTTTGTATCTGGAAAAACACAGAGTTTTGGCCATGCTACAATAATTAATGCACATCTTACAGAGAGGATGTGGATATGATAGTACTGTTCTAAGCACAGGGATATGGCTTACCTAAAGTCACATAACTCATTCGTGACAGAGACTCTGGAATCCAGCTCCCCAATCCAGTTCCTTCTCTTCCCCTGCCTCTGTACCTCTCCTTTAAGACACACAATTCATCCTTTCTTAAGGCAGAATAATTCAGGCATTTTTACCCCACACTGGGTCTCTCAGTCACCTGGGGACAACCTAGGCCAAGCCCTCCAGCCGGAGGTTTCCTCCCTGGTCAGTTCTCCGCTCAGTCCCCTCCCCAGCCCGTCCTATTCTAGTCATGGAAGGCAGGTCTGAAGGCTGCAGGGCTGGAAGGCTGATGGCTGAGATCACTCTGGTTCTGTTAGCTCTTCCCCATTAACTGCTTCAGTGACCTTCAGCAGGAAACAGGCGTACGAGGCCTGTTGGTTCCCATCTGGCTGGGACCACAGTTCTCACTGCCGAGCTGCCGATACACCTGCTGCTGGGAGCAGAGCGAAGTCACGTTGTTGCAGAGCTCTGAAGGAGGTGGCATTAAGGAAGGCAGGTGGATTCCTTAAGATTCTTCTTGGGGGTGGAATAGCCACCTCTAGGTCGTTCCTCTGATACCCCAAACTCACATCCTTTGCAAGGCCAAACCATCCTTCCTCTCCAGCTATGCTGTGAGAGGTCAAGGGATTTTTCCATGTTGGCCTCCAGCAGAGCATGTGAGCTCATGGTCCCTGAGTCAGACTGGCTGGCATTGGGTCGCAAGGCCTCCACTTCTTACATGTGTCTTTGGGAATGTCACTGACCCTCTCTGTGCCTCAGTTCTTTATCTCTAAAGGGAGATAATAGGAATCTTGCCTCACTGATTGTTGTAAGAATAAAGGAGTTAACATCCATAAACCATTTCAGACAATGTCTGAAATATGGTAAGCGCTAAACGTCAGTAGCAGGGGGAAGAGGTGTCACTGACAGAGCACCTTCCAGGTGCCAGAGTCCCAGTGAGGAGCTTCACTGTGTGTTTCTTTAATTCTCACTCAAGGGAACTCAAATTCAGGTGTGTGACTCCAGTGCTGTAACCCTGAGGAGTGCACTCCCTAGGAAGGACCGGCTCCATCTCCACTCACAGTCTAGATCCTACTCACCCGGAGGCTCATCTTGCAAGTCAGAAGTCTGGTGGCAAGCAGTCCCAGACTGGGTCTCTGACTCCTGGCCAAGGAATACTCCTCCTTGAGACTTCCTGGAGTTGTCAAGATGACAGCTCTTGTTGAAAATCTCCATCTGCAGAGCATTTTGACCTCTTCCAACCCCTATCACTTATTGGGGCCATCTATGGACTGCCGCCAGGGACAACAGATGCCGCACTCTGCAGGGTGCAAGGCAGTGAGCATAGTTGAGAATTTGGAGTTGGAGAAAGGAACTGAGTTTGGGTCCCACGCTTCCACCTGCCAGCTCGGAGACCTTGAACAAGTCTTTGGCTCTCACAGCCTCTGTTTCCTCACCTGCACCATGGAGCAGTGATGTCTTGCTCAGAGCTGCTGCAGGGATTCAGAGAGTCAGTGCTGGGAGAGGCACTTAGGCACATGCAGGTCCCGAGCAGCGCCCACACCCTCCTTTCCTCCTCTGCTCCTCTGAAGCTCCTAGCCCAGTGACAGCGAACCTTTTAGAGCT